AACGACATCGTTGGTGTACTCAGTAGACAAGAGGGGGAGCCGAAGAAAGGAGTGTGTCAAATGGTAATGCTAGATGTTGGCCAAATAGCAAATAAAACGGCAAGTAACTAGCAGTTTCGTGCCGTGAAAAGTTGTACACAAAGCTGACAATGAAGAGTGCTTTGTTCCAGTCACGGTAATCTGGTGAAACGTACATTGACAGCATTTGCGTCAGTGTTCGGCTCAGACGCTCGGTCAATCTATTCGTTTGCGGATGATAAGTGGTGGTAAGCTTGTGCTCAGTGGAGCAGGCACGGAGGATGTCATCCACAACACGTGAAAGGAAGTACTTCCCTTGATCAGTAAGCAGCTGCCACAGAGCGCTGTGATGAAAAAGGACTTCATACAAGAAAAAGTCAGCAACGTCAGTGGAATAGCTGGTTAACTTGGTGCAACCTTGGTGGACTGAGGCACAAAAAACATATCGTGAAGCAGGAAGAGCAGGAGAGGAGACAGAACAGCACCAACTACCAACTGTTTAATGACCGTCTAGGAAATGCACAGGAAAGAAGACAAAACCACGCATGCGTGCACAGCCAACAAACACCGCACAGCGTCATGATCAAGGCACTAAGTTATCCAAAAAATGCATTTCTGTTGCGTACAACACAATAGATGTATCACTGATACAATCAGGCCCTTTCTTTTTGATAAAATAGGCTTCCAAGAGCTCTCTAGGTGTTTGTTTTTTGCTCTTACCAAGAATCACCGTTTTTTCAAACAATAGCACACATCTGCAGGCTTTACAGTGCACTGGAAGATGCGCATGATCACTTTTGCCTAAACTATCGGCATGCTCCCTCAGTCTGTCATTGATGCAACGCCCCGTTTGACTGATATAGAACTTGCCATAGCCTAGGGGAGTCCCATATACCATGCCTTGTGCGCAGCACCCAAAAAGTCTTGTGTGCTACTTCTGGCAGTTCCTTTGCTCATCGCATGTGATACGCGGGCACAATTGAGCAAGTTTGTTGGGAGCTGAAAAAACGACTGGAACGCCATAATGGGAAGCCATCTTCTTGAGGTTATGGCTCACACGGTGTATATACGGGACCACCTCAGGCTTAACCCGCTCTCTCTCCTTCGAGCGCACATTTGCATTAGACAATCTGCCTTTCACCTTCTGCAGCAGGCATTCCACCACGGAACAAACTACGGACTGAGGGTAGCCGGCCTTGGAAAGTCTTTGAAGTTGACGCATAAAGCTAGCTTGCATAACACGTTCACATGATCTGCGTAGTGCCAACTCTAAGCAAAGTAGAGCGATTCCGCGTTTCACAGTCTTTGAATGCACTGAATTGTAAAGTAACCATTCCTTCTTACTCCGAGGGAGGTACGCACAGCATACGTGACCAGCCGAAATTGTCAGGTTAAGGTCCAAAAACTGCAAGGAGGTATCTTCCGGAGGCCCATGTCTTCTCTCTTGCTCTTCCCGCTTCACGATATGTTTTTTGCGCCTCAGTCTTCTGCACCAAGTATGCACCAACTAGCCCAAAAACAAGTCCTTTTGGAACAGCTGGTTAGCAGTGGTCGAGTGATGGCAAAGCGTGTGGCGTAATTTATGGCGACTGCAACCCACTTATTTCCAGAAGTGAATGTAAGAAACGGGCTCAACAGGTCAAGGCCAACACAGAAGAATGGTTTCATAGGTATGTCGATGGGCTGTAGGAGGCCAGATGATAGCACAGAGGGGGGCTTGCGGCGTTGGCAGTGGTTGCAAGCAGTGACGTAGCGAACCACAGAACGATACAGGCCGGGCCAGAAAAAAGTGACGTCGCACATGATTGTAGGTACAAGAGAAGCCTAGGTGAGCGGCTGTAAGTACGTTGTGAAGTTGTTCCAGAATGCTGGTAGGCAGATGATGGGGAAGCCCGAGTAGTGATTCCGGGCCATTGATGGTGAAGCTGTGATGGTACAGAATGTTGTTGTGCAATTCGACAATGAAGTAGTACGGGTGTAATAATACCCGCAGCCATGTTGGCTTCTTGCGGAGTTGTGTCGGCAAGGCCTTCGATCAATCTTTTGTTTAGAATAAGTGGCAGCGGAAGTGTTTTGGTGGCCATCTTGTGGACCTGGATGTAATCCGATCTTCTCCACCTGCATGTTCGTGAACTCCTGCGTTTCGAGTTCAGTACGCTCCTCTTGCTTCACAATTGAGATTGCTTGCTGTGAAGTAACGATAGAGCCCAGTCGCAAAAGTCGTCTTCCGCACATGTTGTGCGGTAATTCCGCTGAGCAGCTGATCACGAACTATAGAATTGGTGGAGGCGCCGAAGTTGCATTTGCTTGCCATCGCCTGTAAACCAAACGAAATCTGTAACTAATTCCATCGGTATTTGCTTGTCCAATTTGAAATAGTGATGCTCTAGAACTTCACTGCTTAGAGCCATCAAATGGTTCTCAAATAGAATGAGTGCTGCGAGCCCCGCCGCAGTGGTCTAGTGGCTAAGGTACTCGGCTGCTGACCCGCAGGTCGCGGGTTCGATTCCCGGCTGCAGCGGCTGCATTTCCGATGGAGGCGGAAATGTTGTAGGCCCGTGTACTCAGATTTGGGTGCACGTTAAAGAACCCCAAGTGGTCAAAATTTTCGGAGCCCTCCACTACGGCCTCTCTCATAATCAAATTGTGGTTTTGGGACGTTAAACCCGACAAATCAATCAGTGAGTGCTGCGATGTATTCAACCTGCGTGCCTTCGTCCAGAATCCCGTCTCCGCTTTTCACACGGTCCTGTGCATTTTGTAGTGTCCAGTAGACGTCCAAGCCCTCAACTCCCAGTGCGTAAAGTTGTGGACTCTTCTTGAGAGCGGGCCAGGTGGTGTCTCTAGTGATGACATCGATGCATGTGTAACATGGGGTTTAGCCCAAGGCACAGGAGGAGTGCCCGGAGGTTGCAAGAACGGCGGAGCAGTAATCCCGGAAGTCATTCTGGAACGATGAGGAGCTGAACTGTTGCAGTCGCTAGTACATGTTGGCGAGTCACTAGTGCCAGTAAGCATTGTTGGCGAGTCACTAGTGCCAGCAAGCATTAGCCAACGTACAAAGTATGGCTGCAGTAGGGCTATCGTATTCCGTGCAGCGTGCAAGTAAGGCAGTACCCTGTAAATTGGCCCGACAAGGAGGCAATCCCCATTGAATTTCGACGAACAAGGCGGACGAAGAAAGTAAGATATTTACTTCGGGTTCAACTCGTCCCCAGTTTGTCACCGGATGCACGGTCCAGTGGAGACAAGTAGTGCTTTAGTGGTGGAGCGCTGTAACCAGCGTCAAGGAAGGTGGAGAATGGGGAAGGAACTGCTCTTTATTCGGAGAGAGCGTGTAACAATTATTACAAGAAATTGCCATCATGCGGCACTATGTGACACATCACATGAAATCGGAACTGATCGTAAGCCCACGACTCTAAGATTAGTATCTTGAATTTAGGACATGAAATGCCTGACACCACAATGCGGAAGCAAAAAAGTCATAATGTACTTCGTCGAAAAATACACGTTACGTCACCTGCTGGGTCTTCACAACCACGAATAGGCATTTTGTGCATTGACGGTGGACCCCCCAGCAAATCTCTGTTTGCCGCGACCACTGCGACTAGCAATTTTGCGCGAGCATCCCAAAACGCAAGACTAAGTATGCTGGGCTCCATGTTTCTGTCACCTTAGTTAGGCATTAGAACCACCTCACGGATGAAGTTGCCAGAAGAAAAAAAGCACACGTAGAGACAAACACTGTCTCTATACTTTTATCTAGAATTTACGCGGCTCCTTAAGTAATCCAGCAAAGAACACGATACTTCAGAAGTTACAATCATCAAAGTTCACACATCATCAACTGTATCACATCATCAATTGTATGACTGTCTCTTGCATTCAGAGCCGCAGGTACACCTGCTCTGGTTTCGGAATTCTAGCCTTTCATCACTGATGCACAGTGCCGGAAAAAAAACAGCAAAGCTGTAGCACCAACTATATTCAGAAAACAGTCATGAGCATTGAAAACAACCACTTTCGACTGCAAGAAATATGAACCATACTCGCAACCATGAAGACCAACGCTCACTGTAGGCTTCTAACACATTGCATGATCTTTGAAGTGCAACAGCTGCATAAATATGCACATCCAGAACTCAGCCGACTCTCTAAACAATGCGGTAATATATGAATGGTGATGCACATGACGCGAGACGACGACATGACCAGGAAATCCAACAAGGCCCTGCAAAAGCACGTGAACCATCTAGACTCCAGACCATTTTCTGTGCAGAAGATTCTGGGACCTTGGGTGTGTGCTTCGATAGCACAGAAAGCGACTAAAGTGCTACTGCAGTACCTGAACTCAACAAATCTGAGCGACTGCCTGTAGACAGCGTGTGCTTCCCCAATTCTATCTCTCTTCTCCCCTTTATCTCTTCCCCAGTGCAACCAGACGTGCGTATGGTTAATCTCCTTGCCTTTCCTTCCATTTCTTCTCTCTTTACCATCTAAGAATGCTCCACTTAAAGGGCCCCGAAACCACTTCCAATAATTTTTTTATCATTTTAAGTAAATGCCTGCATCACAATCAACCATAGCAAACGTGGCAGCGCTATTGGTGTCTGGTCATGCCATTCGCAAAAAGAACCAGTTTATTTGCTCACAGGTACGCTCACTTGCCGCTCTTCCTCCTCGGCCAGGAGCAGCCTAGCTAGGCTAAGAGCAAGACGAGCAAGGGTCTTTTTTGGATAACCAAACAAGTGCTACTTTGCTACTACAGCACCATTGAAAAAATTCTCAAAGCTATCGGTTCTTGGTTAACTCATGCACAACTGCAACTTAGATAACAAAAGTTTGACTTACGGGTGGATCAGGGGCCTTTTGAATTATATTTGTGCATCACCAACAAAGTGACGAAGTAAAAAAATGTTTTTTGCAGAAGACATTTGTGGAAGACATGGCTATACAAGTGCCTGTGCCTGTGAGCTCACCTGCTCAGTGTGCGTGGCCTGCTCTGCTGCAGAGTTTTGGAACCTATATCTTGGATGTGATTGTCGCCGCTCCAGAAAGTTGACCTTATTGAGGAGCTTCTCAAGGCGCTGCTGCAGTGCCATCTGAACCACTTCTTTCTGCACAAAAAAGAAATCCCATCTGTTGCCACAGCCTGGCTCACTAGCAAGCAGTTAACCCCATATTCTTTTCTGCGTGGCTATAAAAAATGTATGCTCTTCAATAAATCTCAGAAAAAAATCTTGTTTTGGAAAACATTTGGTCCCTGTAAAGGTGCACTCACAGTGTCAGCGTGTGGGTAAGCATCGTTTCTGTGTTGCATCTATAATGGCCACACATGCTGCTCTCTTTGGTGCATGTCAACTACTTCCCGCCTGCACACCACTTTAAACAGCTGAATGCAACCAGGCTTTTACTTTTGCAGCCACTTGCACCATGCATTATGGTTAGTCAGTGTGACAAGCATGAATATTTTGAAACTATGAATGTCAAAGCATGCACAAATCCACTGGTTAAACTGGCTGCACCAGTGTCTAGGACTCACATACGCTGCTTTTTCACTAAAGTAACATAGAATGTACAACAGTGCACTATAAACGTGCGTTAAATCCAACTATTGTCTTTCGATGCATAACGAGAACAAGTTTAACACTTCCAAAGTTTTTTTTTGTGTGTGTATGTTCCATGGCGATTTTCCATCCCGCAGTCTTTGCTGAGTGTACACGTTTTTAAACCTCCGCTTGAAAGTTTGCAACGCAATGCCTATGCATGTGCATTGGGTGGCGGCGCCACCCTCTGGGACTTACAAGAAGTGTTAAAAATAATTGTACTGACATCTTGCAGAGTAGCTCTGACTTACTGGACGTGCTCTACGCCATCTACAGACGCCGACAACATCTCTCGCAAGTGTACCCCGTCCTCGGACTCCAGTGACCGTGCTTCCATCTTTCCTGTCTCTCCTATCCCCTCAGTTTGTTGTTGCTTCTTCTTCCTCTTTTCTACACCTTTACTCCTAACTTTTATATCCCTCCTCCCCCCCATCCCTTGTGAGCCCTGTGGCGGTGTCGCTCACTGAAGCAGACAATATCGGGGCTCACTTTTCTCTTCCTTTCTCTTTCTTAAGAATCACTCCGCGACACGTCGCGCGAACGCCCTGTTTCATCGCTCGTCGCTGTCGCGTGCATTTTCGCGCTTATGTGGTTTGGCCCAAAGACTACATAGGTGCACGTGACCCTGCCCGATTCACGTATGCGCAACAAGAAATAACGCAATGTTTATTACGCATGTGCATATAAAAAAGTGCTGCAAGGCAATAATAAACACTTTCCGTTTCATTACACAACAATATATCTTATTTTTAAATTGCATACCGCTCGCTACGCGGTTTTCTTGGTGCGAGTAGACGGCCTCATGCCAGCAACAGTGGAATTCGCTCGCCGAAGCCGTCGCGTGAATGAGGTTTGCCTGCGCTAGCGACTGATCGCGCGAAGCCGATCTACGTCGCGTCGCTTGTCGCTGTCGCGTGCATTTTCGCGCTTATGAGGTTTGGCCTTAAATCACGGATTGGAGGCTTGCGTGTGAACTTTGAATCTCGCTTTGCTGGCATCTTGCCTCGCTGCCGCACCGCTCGTCTCCGAAAAGCACTCAATTTTTCACGCTGTTGCTGACACCGATAAAAGACCCTCAAGCATCGTAGTTGTCTCGCCGGCATGTGCTTCGCGAACTTCACTGGCACTGATCACATTAGCGTCTACTTAGATCACATTAGCTAGAAACGCGACCTTTCCAACAAGACCAAAATGACACTGGTGAAGCGCATAGCTCGCGTGCCTTCAGCGGTTGAAGTATGGCTAGTTTACACTTCAATACAAAGGTCCGCTTGCACGAAGTTGCTCTCTTTATGAGTTATAACTTGAAAGATAAGTGGAATTTCAAAGCCAAACTTTGCTGCTAGGTGTGTAAGGGCATCGGGAACGCAAAAATGATGAGAGATAAAATGCAATTTTAGGGCCGATTTTCTACATCTAAGTGTCACATCCCTCTTAATATTTAGCACAAAGGGACACAAAGACGACAACAGAGGATGCAACACTTACAATAACTTTAAACAAAATGGTTTATTGCAACTTAAGCAGGAATGTATGTGATATATACCGTATTTACTCGCATAATCGGCGCACTCGCATAATAGGCGCACCCCTAGTTTGGTCGCGGAAAATTCGATTTTTTTTTAATTGCGCGCATAATAGGCGCACCCCGAACTTGGCCGTGATCAGAAACGATTCTACCCCCCAGTGGTACAGTTGGAACACGGTCCCCGTACCCTGAAGAAAAAAATAAGGCAAATCGACGAGCAAATAAAAAAAATCGAAGTGCAACGACCTAACCAACGTGTTTGTCGAAAAAAAACTTGAAAAAAAAAAAAGCGTCCATAAGCGAAAAAAAAAAAACGGCTGTTCCATCAATTACTGATACCCCCTAAATCGCCGCGTGGCAGGCGATCTCCGACGAAGTCGTCAGGAAAAGCTTCAAGAAGACGGGTGTCTCGAACGCACTGGATGCGAGTGAGGATGACATGTTGTGGGGTGCGGACGATTCGGACACCGAAAACGAATCCTTGCTCGGCGAGGATGAATGTGTGATCTCCGACTTGGACTCCAAATAGGGAAAAGGAGGAACGGCTACGACTTTTGTGTAAATAAATTTTACGTGTGTGTGTGCAGTTGACGGCTCTCGCTTGTTCATTAAAAGGTACGTAGGTATGTTTGTTATATGCTGAAATAATTGGTAAACGATAAAGTCGCCTTTTACTTGACAAGTGTGCAGATTTAAAGCGCAAGGACCGAGTTGAAAAAATTTTCGAAAATTTTACCCCGCGTAATTGGCGCACCCCTAACTTCGAGCCGGATTTTCTGAAAAAAAAGTGCGCCTATTATGCGAGTAAATACGGTATATATATATCTAGCAGCTCACATTCTGCAGACAGATATTTGCACTTCAGTTGCAATAAACCCTTTCGTTAATGTCCTCCCTTATCGTCCTTGTGTTATTTCCCATTAACTATCACTCCATATCTCACCAACAAAGCCAAATTTCTCCCCTTTAGCACAAAAAAACAGGGCGCAAGAAGGTAGAAAAAAATTTATGTCAAAGAATCATAAGTTTTTTTGACAATAACTTTGTGCTCACCGACAACATGGTCAAATCATCATAAGGCTAACACATCACTTGTAGCATTTTAATTCTAAACTAGTAAAAAGAGGAGTCGAAATACCATGCAGGGGTCATGCCCGCATATAACAAATGCAAGTTTCAGGTTGCAAGCCACACAAGTTTAGGAGGCTGGCTGTCATGCCCCAATGTCAGTCGCAGAAGGTGTGCTCAAGCAGGTATCTTGGGTGAAGATGGTTCCTCAACAAGCATGGGAGTTGCTGAAACAGGTATGCCTGGATGAAGATGTTTCCTCAACATGGAAGTTGCTTAAACAGGTACACCTGGGTGAAAATGTTTCCTCACCAAAAATAGAAGTTGTGTTACAGATACGCCTGGCTGGGTGAAGATGTTTCAGCAAGTGTGGAAGTTGCTTAAAGAGGTACACCTGGGTGAAGATTTCCTCAACAAGAGTTGACGTTGCTGGAACAGCTATGCCTGGGTGAAGATGTTTCCTCAACAACAGCCAAAGTTGCTTAAACAGGTACACCTGGATGAAGATGTTTGCTCAACAAAGTAGAAGTTGGTGATGCTTATTTTTGTGACGGCTACACAGAACTGCTGTCAGTTTCCATGACCTGGCCAGATTTTTCAGAAATTCCCTGAATTTTCCAGAAGGGTTCGAATTCCCTGACTTTTCCAGGTTTTCTAGGTTGGTAGACACCGTGCAAGTATGCCTGGGTGAAGATATTTTTTCAATAACAGCAGAAGTTGCTTAAACAGGTACACCTAAGTGAAGATGTTTGCTCAACATGGAAGTTGCTTGAACAGGTATGCCTAGGTGAAGATGTTTCCACAAAAATAGTGGAAGTTGCTTAGACAGGTAAGCCTGGGTGAACTTCCTTTCTCAACAAGAGAGGTATTTGCTTAAACAGGTATGCCTGGGTGAAGAAGTTTCTTCAACAATAGCTGAAGTTGCTTAAACAGGTACACTTAGGTAAAGATGTTTGCTCAACAAGAGCAGAAGTTGCATTACAGGTATGCCTGAGTGAAGATGTTTCCTCAATAAGAGTGGAAGTTGCTTAAACAGGTATGCCTGGGTTAAGATCTTTCCTTAACAAGAGTGGAAGTAGCTTAAACAGCTATGCCTGGGTGAAGATTTTTTGTGTCTAACAATTTGATATTTCTAAATTCCCTGACTTTTCCAGGTTTTCCATGATGATTGAAAACAAATTCTATGACCGCCACGTCTGCTTGGAAAACTTTGCACTGGAAACAAACCCTCGAGTGGTAAAAAAAAAAATCAGGCACCCCTTATAAAATCAGTATAAATGTTTATCAGATGCACTTAAAGTGTGCGGTAAATGTGAACAAATATATATATCTGGCCAAAATAAAACTACCAAGCCAGACAGTGAGCAAGTCAGCTGTTTCATGTTTGGAAGAACCATGAAGCAAGCACACCAGTAAAAAGTAACCACAGATGAAAGTTTGAAGGAGCCTGCGATAGTCCGACATCGCAGTCAAAGCTGCTAGGAAACATAGAAGTGGTGCCATCTCGCAGCATCCATGCAATATGAGGACACAAGAGCCTGGCCGGTTTTTCCGCTGGAGTTCTTCCAATGTAGTTTACTATAATGGCTGTAGCCCATGCCGCTTAGGATGTGGATTGGATTGAATTTAATTAGATCAACCTGAACTGCTGTATTTACTGACTTAACTATTTAGGATGTGGATTAGATTAGATTTGAATCGACCTTGATTGCTGCATTTACTATTGATTGGCATCCCCACCCCATTTGCACACTCCTAAAACATACTTCTCAGCAAAAAGAATGAACAACAACTACTCGTGTATTCTGTGTACCTCGCCTTGACAACGACTAAACGACAACATTGCAAGAACAGAGCCGTACTGCAATATTTTCTTTCTTTCTTTTTCTGATGAGCACATGCATGTTTGTATTTT